ATAATACTGTGGGTCCATGCCCTATCGGCCAGCCGACGACCGACAGAGCCTTGTGTAGAGACTAGTCGGCTCTTTGAAGGCCGATAGGTTTCTGTCGGCCCTCCACCTATCGGCAATCCAGCGGCCGACAGACTATTACTCTTACAATTCTTTTTATCCAAATACTATATTTGCACAACTTTCGGTCTCTTTGCTCTTATCGTAAGCAATGTTAAAACTGTGTGGTTTGAGGGTCCATTGGCAGCCCATAGTATTTTAGTTGTTTCACAAAGAATGATCGCAGCGTAGATCATATAATCAGTCATCGTATACTTGGATGAAGCAAATCAATCTTAAATTTGAAACAACAATTGTTATGTACATCAAAGTGGATATATGACATCTGCACCTGGTATGGTTGAATATCAGAGAACAAGGGCGGCGTCATTTACCTTCTTCACTAGAAGTGACAGATGTGGATAAATACAGGATAAGCAGTTAAGGAGCAAAAATCATAACTAACTTTCATACTTGAGCTTCTATAAGCATTGGAGAAAAAAAGAGAGCATATTTCAGAGCCAATAACAGAGATGTTTCTAGGTTTTGAACTGTGTAGTAACCAAAACTCCGCAAAAACGAAGTCCTTTTCACTTTTTTCAGCCCGGTGCATGAGGCATACGGGTTTGTTTAGCGCCCGGACGTCCATCCCGCTCGCATTAGTAATCCACACCCGCGCTCGCACAAAAAAAACCAACACGCCCTAATGTTCCGCTGCAAGAGTTTACTATGAGACTTCATACACCTTAAAGTTCATAGAACGAAAATAAGTTTTTTTTGGAGGCCCTTATCCTCATTACGCCTAGCATTGAGTTGGCTGGATATTTACCTTATCAACTAGCAAATCAATAGGGGTTCTATTTGAGTAAGTACCTGAATCGGACTCCGCCTCCGCCTGGGTTGCACGTGCCCATGCGGGGCCGCGCCGCCAGACCGCGCGTGGCCCCTCCGTTTCTCATGCACATTGCAACATTTGCAACGTCTGATCTACTTTTAAAACACCAAGATGCAACAATTACAACATTCGTCTGAAGACAAACGAAACACTTGCAAAAACACATGAAAAACACTTAAAAATCATTGCAAAAATACGCAATATCAAGTTAAAACACTTGCAGCATATGCGTGAAACATATGCAACATCCAGATAAGCACACTTGCAACAATACGTCCAAAAAACACAGATGAAACATTATGAATAGACCTTTGCAACATACATGTACAGCCATTGCAACATATGCGACATCATGATCTACTTTTACAACATTCATCTGAAACAATTGCAACATACTATAAAAATCCGAAACACTTGAAACATAGGCTTGCAACATGTGTTTCATCACATCGCAACATCTCCTTGCTGTTTGTGAAATGGAGGCTCGCTGGCATGTGGAGTTCACCGGAGGCAGCCGCGCCATCGCCACCATCGATCAGATGGACTCCGCCTACTACGACGTCGACGGGGACCCCTTCAAGGTTAGTTAGCCACAGGCTGACGGGGAAACGCAGAATTTCAAAAACCAGTCGGTAGCAGTCGACGTCGTAGAGCGGCGCGACAAATGACAGCTTGGCGCCGCCTCACGACCTCGGCGTGGTCGCGTGAGCATGTGATCCCTCCCGCTGCCTTTCGTGGCTGCCGGTGACGCGCCGTTTGGCTGCACCGTACGCTGTCCGCCCCCACTGCCACTAATCCGTCGCCTCTGCTAACCCGCCGATAGGTTCTTTCTGCCTATGCTTCGTTCGATTCGATAGCCGTCTCCACCCACTGCGACTAGCGACGCTCTGCCCGCCCGTCACCCCGTTTATCCATCCTTGGGCAACCTGTCGCGAGGTTCTTGGGTGGGCAAGGAGGGCCGGAGGCTCTATTCTGCTGCACTGTTTTAGCAGTACTTTTCAGCGAAAAAAAATATCTTACACCATATCCGCATAAGCATCAGCATAAGTTAAATTTTAGCGAAACCAATAGGGCCTCGCTAAAATTTGACGTATACTGATACTTATGTTGATTTATTGTGAGAGAAAAATATTATTTTTTTTTGCTAAAAGTACTGTTGAAGTATAAAATAGGACCCTCGTCTCGGCGGCGTTCGACGACGTGCAGAGGCCAGCAGCGGCGTGGAGTCGCACGTTCGCGTTAGCACGACCAGACGCGCATTAGAGTCTGCGCTTGTAGTTGTCGCGAGAAACCAAGTGGAAGCAGGCAACCAGAAAACCAGAAACCGGTGCCACAAGCAGCTACACGAGCTCTGCGAAGCACACCAGACACCACCGTGCTAAACCTGTTAGAACGCAACAGCGGACCAACGGCCACGACCATCATCACCACAGCGCGTCCGCGGCATGTCTGTCTCCGCAGCAAAGGCGCCGTGACCGTGAGGGCCCATCACCAGCCTGCCAGCCCGTCCGACGTGGCCCACCGCGTCCGGTCCACCGACCCGGTCTCACGACTGACTGACTGGTTGCTTGCTGATCCTAACGGCACGTACAACAGTGGTTTATTTTCTGTATGTATAGTGCTCCGTTAGTGTTTCCGTCCAATTTAATGAGGTGAGAGGGTGTTGCCGTCGTCTCGTTAAAAGACAGCTAGGGCTTGTGCTCCGAAGTGAAATTGTTTGTCAGTCACCAGTATGATCCGTTGCGAGTCTTCAACAGTACCCTTTGTACCTCAAATCAAATGATGAGATATACGGAGAGACATATATGATTTATGAGATATATTATATTACGTTATATATATAATAGATATGATTTACTTTAAATGATTTGTTTTGTATCAATTAGCAACACAATGATACATATAATGGTACATAGAAATAATATTCATGATTGATCACGGTTAAATACAAGTATTAAACGATTTATAGACAGTCAAATAGACAGTAGCTATCTATATGTTGTATGAGGTATCCGTTTAGCCGTCTAGGTTAAAAATCAAAACGCTGTCTCTCCCCGTTGTATGTGTCCTAAAACCCACCCTCCCCCGCGCGCTCCTCGATCCTCATACCGTGCTCGCCGAGGGACGAAACCGAAGACGGCAACACCACAGACCACAGCAGTCAGCACGCCGGCCACACCAAAGCCAAGCAAGCAGCTTAGGAACATACGCGGATCGTTAGTGGCGGGATTTTTCTTTGCATTTCCCCGCCGCCGTCTTGGCACCTCGGCCCCTCTGCGCCGTGCTCAACGCCGCGGAGCACCGGGAGCTAAGCCCCCGATTTAAAGCTCAGTTCGTGGGGTTGAGGCATCGGGCCCTGCCGATTGCCCAGACGCCCGCTCTCCGCCCAAAATTTGCCTGCGTCCTCGCCGCAAAATCGCTTCCCGTGATCCCGAGGCGCGCGTGGTGCGACGAGGATGGGGGAGGGGGCGAAGGCGATGCTGGCGAAACCCATCCAGCTCGCGGACCAGGTGGCGCAGCAAGCGGGGTATCAGTGCCACCGGACGGACTGCACGGAGCTGCGGTCCCGCGCCAAGAAGCTCGCCGAGCTCCTGCGGCAGGCGGCGCGGGCCGAGCTGTACGAGCGCCCCGCCGCGCGCGTCATGGCCGACACGGAGCGGGCGCTCCACAAGGCCGCGGGCATGGCTGCGCGCTGCTTCCAGAGCCACTCCCGCCTCCGCCGCTTCTTCACGCTCAACCCGGTGTCGGGGCTCCCGCGCACCCTCGCCCTGCTCGACACCGCGCTCGAGGACATCGCCTGGCTCATCAGCATCTCGTCCCCGCAGGACGACGGCGACGGCGACCTACGGGGGCTCCCCAACATCGCGCAGAACGAGCCCGTGCTCGGAATGATCTGGGACAACATCGCGCGCCTCCACACCAGCGGCCTCGACGCGCGGGCCGACGCGGCCGCCACCCTCGCCTCCCTCGCCAACGGCAATTCCCACTTCGCCGAGTACATCGTCAAGGAGGATGGGGTCGCGCCCCTCGTCAAGCTGCTCAAGGAAGGCACCGACGAAGGGCAGGAGGCCGCGGCGACAGCGCTCGGGCTTCTCTGCCGCGACGAGGACAGCGTGGAGGAGCTTCTCGACTCCGGGGTGTGCTCCGTCTTCGCCGCCGCGCTCAAGGAGCCGCCGATGCGCGTACAGGCCGCGGTCGCGGACGCCATTGCGTCGCTAGCGCGCCACAGCCAGAAGTCCCAGGACCTGTTCGCGCAGAGCAACGCCGTCCGGCATCTCGTCACCCACCTCGCCTCCGGAACCATCAAGGAGCATAGCAGGTATTCTGTCGGTGTGAACGGCTCCCGGAACACCGTTACAACGGCGGCGGCGGCCACAACGTCGCTTGACAATCTTCACTCCGTCGTGCTTGCCAAATCGCGAAGCGTCCGCCAAGGCGAGCCTGGTTCCTCAACCAATGTGCCGCCGAACCCGTTGCAAACTTCGACTGGCCAACAGCGAGTAAGAGCGAACCAGATGCAATCGGTGGTGCAATCCGCGATGGCGGCCACCAACACGACGACGAATGGAGTCATGCCGCCAGGTGCAAGGCCTCAACTGAGCTCAAACGGTTCAAGTGGCCGCGGATCGCGCGAGGCCGAGGACCCGGCCACCAAGGCTCAAATGAAGGCCATGGCGGCAAAGGCTCTGTGGATGCTTGCGCGCGGCCATGTGGGAGTCTGCAAGAGCATCACAGAGTCTCGCGCGCTCCTCTGCTTCGCCAGGCTCCTCCAGAGCGGCGACGGCGGCGCGGGAACGGACCTGCAGTTCTACTCCGCGATGGTGATCATGGAGATCACCCGTGTCGCCGAACACAACCTGGCGCTGCGGCACTCCGCGTTCAAGCCCAGCGCCACGGCAGCCAAGGACGTCGTGGAGCAGCTCCTGCGCATCGTACGCAAGGGGACGACGACGGCCTGCTGCGCCCGTGCGTCACTGCCCTGGGCTGCTTGTCCCGCACATTCACCGCGAGCGAGACCCGCGTGATCGGCCCTCTGGTGGAGCTGCTCGACGACCGCGAGATTCCGGTCATGAAGGAGGCCGTGGTCGCGCTCACCAAGTTCGCCTGCACCGAGAACCACCTGCACGTAAACCACAGCAAGGCCATCGTGGACGCCGGCGGGGCGCGGCACCTCGTCCAGCTAGTGTACCTCGGAGACCAGCTGCAGATCGAGGCGCTCATATTGCTCTGCTACATTGCGCTACATGTCCCGGAGAACGAGGAGCTCGCGCAGGCCGGGGTGCTCGCCGTTCTCCTGTGGGCGTCGAAGCAGGCACACATGGTGCAGGACCTGCGCGTTGAGGCACTGCTGCCGGAAGCCAAGGCTCGGTTGGATCTGTTCCAATCCAGGGCATCCAGGTGATGATTGCAGCAACCACCGGTGATGAATTAGTTCATCTTGCTTTGCAGAATCAGATTAGATTTGTGTCTATTGTTCTCTGTTAGTATTTCTCAGTTATGCTATTGTTAGAGTGTACAGATCGCGGTTGTATTTGTCTCAAATGGAAATATTGATTGGTATAGTCGTCTATTGTTAATTCCTGATAAATTCTTGTCGATCATTTCTGTACGTGTATAGATTGAACTGGTAACAAAAAAAAAAGGGTGTTTATCATGCTTAGATCGACCCATCTGGTCCCATTTGGTCGCTGAGTGTACTTCACTGCTTGAGCCATAATGGCAGGTTGACTTGACCCCAAATGCACCTTCGAGTCAACCTGCCATAGCAGAGCAGGTTCGTTTCTCTTGCACGTTCATTATAGTAAAAAAAAAACCAAATTTTGAGTTAATTTCTGCTTCTTCAGTTTGTGGTATTGACAGTTACATGCTCTTCTTTTGGTTAGCAGGATATTTTGCAAAAGTACTGTTCAAGTTTCTGCCAAAGAGCTATGTATTCATTTTTGGACTTCTGGAAACGTCTTTAACTATAAATTTTGCGATGGTTCATGTTCTTTTAACAATTTGACTTCGATACGTACAACCTCTGTCCCAAAATAAACGACGTTTTGGGTTTTCGTGCCATAAGTTTGACTCGATTTGTAGAAAATACGTGCAATATTTACATCTTCAAATAAATTTGTTAAAAAACTAGACAAAAAGATCTTTTCGATGATACTAATTACTTAGCATAAATATTTATATATTTTAATATATAATTGTCGGCAGTCGTTTCTCGGAAAACGAGAACGTCACTTATTTTGGGACGGAGTGAGTATCTTTGAACATACGTTTACAATCTTGTACTTTCCGTGAATTTACTACAACTGGTACTTGTCGGCTTCGATCAAATGTCAATAAAATTGGGTACACAAGTCAAAAGTTTGGCACATATCTTAAGAACGAACAGCCGGTGGTATCTTCAAATGGGCATGATTGTATTTTAATACTACAAGCTTGTCGGTCAATGAGGATCTTGCGGCTCGTGCAAAACAATTTATTGAACTATTTTTATGGACGCCGTTCAGAAAAAATGTCAGCGTGGCGATAGTTCTGAGATCGAAGAGTAATCGCCATACGCAATACCTGTGACTTTAACCACACGAATACTAAATCCGATAGCCAAATTACTGGTAAGGCCATGTTTAGTTGCCCCAAATTTCAGAATTTGGCACTATGTAAAAAGAAGATTTTCCGTCACATTAAACTTACAGTGCATGTATGGAGTACTAAATGTTGACGAAATTAAAAACTAATTGCACAGTTTTGTTGTACTTTGCGAGACGAACGTTTTAAGCCTAATTAGTCAACGATTAGACAATTATTATCAAATAAAAACAAACGCTACAGTGTAGCTACAGTGTCCGGTTTTTCCGGCGGCGCCGAATCGGTGCTGAACTAAACATGGCCTAAATTTGTCGATCGGGGATTTGTCAACGGTATGATCCTAGCAGGAGGTAAAAACAAAAGTCGTGTGGCTTATTCTTCAGTTCTCCACTTTCCTGGTACTTGTTGGAACGACATACTTGGCTTTTGTTGGGAATTTTGGGGAACAATAGCAATACGACACACGTTTTATGAGTTAATGTTGACCGGTACAAAAGTTACATTTGCTTGTTTAGATGTCATCCAAATTCTAAGTTTTTTTACTCTCTCTTCATCACATCAATTTTTAGCCACTTGCATGGAGTATTAAATGTAGGTAAAAAAAATAACTAATTACACAGTTTAGTTCGAAATCACGAGATGAATCTTTTGAGCCTAGTTGGTCCACGATTAGATAATATTTATCAAATAAGACGAAAATGGTACTATTCATCGGGTCTATTTTTTTTTTTTAAATGAACGAGGCCTTGGAAGCAAAGCAATGCGCTTGCTTTGCTCGATTCCGACATTTGTGCAGTAAAAAGGTGTACTAGAAGGGATGGCAAATGCCGTCACGTAAAATACTCTAGCGACAGAAAAAGGGTTCCGAGGGCGGAAACGGAATACGACCCTCATTGAAAAACAAAAGAAAAGGAGGCGTAACCATTGACTGGGTGTCTGAATCAAATACCACCATTTTAACGTACAAAATGGGACATGTATACGTGCAGCGTGCCAGAGCGGGCTGGACGCTTCGGCTTGGCAAGGCAGAGGTAAGATAAATGGTTTTAAAAGTACTTAACCATCTTTAAAACTGCTTATAAGAGGGACAGGAGGTAAGATGAATGGTTTTAAAAATTGAGAGAAGTGTATTGGATATTACGTTTGGGCGTCCACGGCTATGGATGTTGCCAGTTACGTACCGGCTATGGATGGATTGACATGTATTGGATGTGGCGTCCACGGCCAGGCAGGCGCCGTGCATTATTGGGGTCGCTTCTCTCTTGTGACTCGTGAGTCATCATCATCATCGACCGCGTTCAGTTTCAGTTTCAGTTGGTAGAGATGTGTGGATGGATGTGAGCTTTACCCAAGAATGATGAAGCTCACCGACCACTAGGCCATGTTTAGCTTGCAAAAAATTTCAACCCGATGAATAGTAGCACTTTCGTTTTATTTGGTAAATATTGTCTAATCGTGGACCAACTAAGCTCAAAAGATTCATCTCGTGATTTCCAACTAAATTATGCAATTAGTTATTTTTTTATCTATATTTAATGCTCCATACAAACGGCTAAAAATTGATGTGATGGAGAGAGAGTGAAAAAACTTAGAATTTAGAGGTGATCTAAACAAGGCCCTAGCTAATAATAAAAGCTCACCTATTACATTTTCTTGTAGCTCCATGCGTCGTCCAACAGGCAGGCAGGCCACTGCATGCTAGTTGCACATGACTCTGTCTACACACCTCTCTCTCAACGTGCGTACAAGCTTTCCCGGACCGTCGTCGATTTCGGTCCAATGATAGATCTAGCGGCTCACTGCTCCAGAATCGACTTTCACTGTGGGCACCATCAGTGCCGGATTTTGGCTAAGCGACAGTAATAACCATTCACTGCCGATTATGTGCTTCAAAATTAGAAAATAATTGGGGTGGCCAAGAACCGACCGTAAAGGTCTACATCACTGTCGGTTTATGACCGGTTTGTAGCTGGAACCGGCAGTGAGTGGATGGTGGCATATCATTGCCGGTTCTAGCCAAGAACAGACAGTGATAAAACTGACTACAAAAGGCTGTCGTCCTTTCCTCCCTCCTCTCTCCCATCCTGAGCACATTCATCCAGGAGGCGCGCATTTTCCCCTCCCTCTATTGTTCCAGCCGTTCTTCACCATAAAGCTCTTAGATTTTAAAGCATGGGCAAGATCTTCTTGCTTTAAGGTTGGTACCAATCATCCACTCCTTCGGTTTTGTTGCTTAATTATCGTTGTTTTGATCAATGACACAGGGTTTATACTGGTTCAGGCAACGTGCCCTACGTCCAATTTGAGTCGGTCGATGACTTTATTCCTGAGCCTAGGTGTTTGAAGTTTGCAGTGGAGTTACAAACGAGAAGGAGAAAGATAGGGTGTACGAGAGGTTCGGTCGGCTCCGGTCGGAAGGGCCGAGAGCGACATGAGCTCCGTTATGAGCTAAGTGTTCAAGCGTGTGCTTGAGGTCCGAACCTGATGGTTCTGTGGTTGTGAGCTAGTGAACTTGATCGATCTGGATTGACTTTGACGAACTTGAATCAACTTTCTCTCTTTGAGAGAGCGCATCCCCTTTTATAGATGAATGGGATGGCCTTACAAGTGAGAGGGAGGGAGTACGTATGCTTCTAAGCCTTGCTGCCCACGTCGACGGGACAGGATGATGGTAGGCGTCCACAACACTGTTGGTTGTTAGATGCACGTGGGAGGTTACGTCGTCTTTGTTTGGGTATGGCAAATGTCGGTACCTACAAAATACTGTTGATGCCCAGAGGCATATGAGGAGTTTCACCATGTTCGCTCGGTACGATAAATCCCGGTGCCCACAACACTGTCGATGCCCAGAGGCATGTGGGGGCCTTACTGTATGGGAGTTAATTGGCGCCCATAATACTATAGAGGAAAATGTCGGCGCCTACAACACTGTTTATGTCAGGCGGTTGCAGAGTACTGTTCCTGCAAGTATACAGGGTACGATCCCTGGTATCATGGTTTGATTTGAACGCCTTGCCTTGCTTTCTTCATTCGTTCCCTAGTCCTTTTCGGGCGGGCGTCCCCGGTCGGTTGGTCCCAGTCGGCTCTGGTTACGCTAGACCGAGAAGAGCGGTGAGCAGGGCTTCTGCATACCCCGATCGGAGACGTGGGGTCAGAGTCGAAAGTAATGCTTTGGCCAGGCCTTTCGGTCGGAGAGGCTGTCCGGAGGCTGCTGGAGTCAGAGCGAGCGCTCCGGTCGGTGAGGTGGGCCGGAGGCGGAAAACGGGTGCCACTCTTCCTCGGCTAGACCTTTCGGTCAGTGATTGGATCACCCTCCTGGCCTATTTGTTCTGATACTTGGGCCGGCCCATGAGTTGCTTGCTGTCTGCTTGGGCCGAAGCTCATAGATCCTGATGGGGCGGGTTTGGGGTCGTAGACCTAGGTGTTTTGGAGTGCGGTCAGAGCGTAGCCGGATGGGGCGAGTTCGGGGTTGTAGACCCGAGTGTGTGGAGCGCAGTCGGAGCGTAGCCAGATGGGGCGAGTTCGGGGTCACAGACCCAGGTGTTTGGAGCGCAGTCGGAGCGTAGCCGGATGGGCGAGTTCGGGGTCGCAGACCCGGGTGTTTTGGAGCGCAGTCGGAGCATAGCCAGATGGGGAGAGTTCGGGGTCACAGACCCGGACGTTTTGTGTCTTGAGCCCCCAAGCCCTATTGGGCCTTAGTAGGGGTCGGTGTAAGTTGTGTGTATTACCCTGTCCTCGGTTCCTGATAACCGGAGGGGCTGAGTTTTGTCGCTTGTCCCGATCGCTCGGGCTCGAGTGACGCGCTCGGTGAGTTCGCTA